CCTGCTTTTTATTCTGAGGAGCCCCTATCTTTATAGCACACCTCCACATGCACCCACCTATAGCCCCCCCACTGCCCACACTCCGTAGTGCAAGTCTGCCTGCCATTGCTAAATATATTATAAATGACAAGCCCAAGAAAGAATGCAATGCTACTGTTTGGAGACTGCAGTGCCAAGGTGGGAAAATAGGCAGAACCTGGAATCATGGGTAAATGCCACACTCCAAATGATAGGTTAATAAAGTCTTTTTACTCTCCACACCGGCTTCAAGCAATTTAAGTACAGACTTTTATGATATCACCAGATGGACATCAAAAGCACAGATTACCTCATAAGAAAAACGCCAGGATACATCCATGTTCATATTGTGGAATGGACTGTAAATTATTAATTACAATATGCACATAAAATCTAGAAAAATTAAAGAGAACAGAGATGCCAGAAAAAAATATGATAGAAAAAGACAGTAAAAAACAAGATCAATGAAAAAAAAGTATGTGAAAACTGAGGCAGAGAGATCTTTCCCAATATATATATTTTTTTTAAAAAAAATCCAAATATCTTTTAGAAAAAAGCCAAAGAAATATAGAGGACGAATATTGAGGAAGAGTACAATGATTGAATCTAGATTATATCAACAAGATAGACTAGAAAAATATTGCAGTGAAAAATGAAATGGAGGGTAAAACAAGAAAATTGAGAGATCCTTTAAAGATTATGAGAACAGTTCCAGGAAAATGCATAGCCAGTGTAAGAATACTAAAAAATAATCATGGAAGAGTTCTGATAGAGGCAAACAATGTCAAAGGAAGATAAAAGACTTATACTGAAATCTTTTTACTATAAAAATGGATTTATAGAATGTTACAAATGTTTGCGGACAGAATATATTCTGAAACAACTCCATCTAGAAAGTGAGTTATGATAGGCAATTGAGCAGCTGCCAAATAGGAAAGGACTAAGCATAGATGAAATACCCAGTTAACTGTTTAAAGCTGCAGGAGAAAAAAGTGGTTAAAATGGTAATAGCTTTGCCTTTAACTTTAGAATGAGACACTGTGGTCTGAAGACTTGAAAGAGTCATATATGGCTCCACTAAAAAAGATGAATGAATTACCAATAACTTGTGCTCATTCCTCAGTTGCACAAAATTTTGCTCATTAGCTTAGGAGGAAAATAAAAATCCTACATGGACAGGGAAATGTCAAATAAATTAGATTTTAGGAAAGGCAGAAGATACAAGATCAGATAGCCAAAGAGAACTGGAAAATGGAGAGAGCAAAAGAATACAAGGAAGTTTACCTTTGCTGCATTGACTGCACCAAGTCTTTGTGTACATTATGTAAGAATGTGCAACCTATTAAGTCTAACGGGTGTGCCAGAACGCTGAACACTGGAAAGAACAAAACAAGCATTGTGACAGACCATACTGCCTGAATGAGATTCAAAACAAGTTGGAAGGAGTAATTTTAAATTCATCATAGGTCTCAAATATGCCAAATGCTTTTCTAAACGGCTCAGTTGTCATGCACACACATTTCTTTCTTCCCAATTGTTTTGAACAACTTTAAAAATATAATTTGAAGTGGGTTTTTTTTTGTGAAGAGGATAATTAAATGTTGGAAGTAAATGCACAACAGATCAGTTGAAGATAAAAATTTGTTAAAAGACTCATTTCTGAATTACAAAGTATAATTTTAACCGAGTTTTGTATATAAAATTCATACCACAAAAAGACATTTATAATTCAAAGAAAATGAATGTTGGATTATCTACCGGTTTCATTTAAGAACTTCTGCAAAGATGAAAATTGGATCTTAATATTTTTAATAAACCTTTAAAACTTCAAATTAGAAGTAGTCCATGGGACATGACACCGAATAATGGCTGTTCTTTAAGAATTAATTTCTCTTTCATAATACAAATCTATAATTCTCAGGAGTGCAGAGACTTTTTGGTAAATAGAAGACATTACACTCTTTCAAATCTTTGTAATTAAACTTTTCATAAGCTTTTCATAATCACTTCATACTAAGCCCATGATCGAATCACAAAACTATGAGAAGGACATTCCCCCCTCACTGATCTGGCCACCTTAAAGATCTAAACTATCAGATCAATTGCTTTGCCCTTACAATTACACTTCGGGAGGGTTAGAGGATTTTCTGGGCAATCCTTGTTTTTGAAAAATTATTCCAGCAAAACAAACATTTAACACTATGAAATAAAATGAATCTAGCCATGTGTCAATTAAGACTCATAATAAGAAATGCCCAACATCCACTTATAAGAAATATTTTAACATAAGGAGGTTTGTTTACTGTATACTTTTAAGAACAATATTTATAATCTTAACTGCATGTTTTGTCCTATAGACTTGATCATTGACAGTACAATTCCTTGAAATATTTTTCATGTTGCTCTGACAATAATAGTTTTTATTTATATTCAATAAATATTTATTTTGTAGAAAGGAAGACAGCAACTTCTCTATAAACTGGATATTGTCATTAACTGGAGAGTCTATTTCCTTATCTTTTTTTTTAGTTTCAGTGATTGTATGAAGGTTATGATGTGTACAGTATAGCTTTTCAAACCAGCTGTTCGTAATTCATTTCTTTGCTGGCAAGCATAGCAACAATTCTGTATGTCAAGAACAAGTCTGGAATGCCATTCAACAGGACATACTATAAAGAAATGCAAACTCAGAGAAAATCACCTGTAAAATAGAACACAGAAAGAAACCAGCATTTTACTATATATTATCTAAATTCTCTTTCTGATACAGGGTCCTTACCTGTGCAAAGGGCCTTGGTTGCTTGAACAGGCAATCTAGGATTTTAGGAGCATGCAAATGCCTGCATTCAGAAAAATGACTGTCATGTGACACACAGCTACTCACAAAATGGGCATTTATTAGAGGATGAACTAGCTTCTTACGATGCTCGTTGATGGCCCAGTGGGCCAAAGCCATCCCTGGCTCAGGAATTCTGGGAGTTGAAGTCCACGAGTCATAAAAGAGCCAAGGTTGCCTATCCCTGTGCTAGCAAGTCAAGGACTACTTATAAATGGAATCGGTCTTAAGAAAAAAATACAGGGCATTTTTTAGCTTCAGACTAACTGATTAATATAACTGAGCTTCTATATTTACCTACTAAAGTGTTTTCTTGATGATTTAAACTTAATTTTCTGACTTTGCAAAAATGCCTTTTAACTGGCGATGTCAACAGCTGTTTCAACAGCATGTATAATAAATGAAAGTGTTCTCAAAAATTGTTTACTTACTAGGTAAGTAAAGATAACATTGGCTGCAATGATTTTTGTAGTACTTTGGCATGAATAAATGAACATTTAAACATGGGTATTATTGCTTGTATGCTACAATCATGTGCATGTTTCTCAGTACAGTCTGCTACTATAGGGCCCAATATGCACTTTTTTCCCAAAAATTTGTTTCAGGTGAAAACAAAATAACATAATTTTTTATTTGCAGATACATGACTTTGCTATAATGGAACCCTGCTGACAAATATTAAAAGATAAAGGATTAAATAAGATTTTATTGTCACATTTACCTTTGTCAAAGATGTACATTTAAAAGTTTCTGAGCAAGATTAAAAATTTCTCAAATGAACTGATGAGATGGCAACAGCACTTATTGAACAAACTGCACTATAGTAGCTTGTATATCCAAAGTTAATAAAATCCAAATATTTTTTTGTTAATTAGAACAGACTACAGCAATGAAAAAAATGCATGTTAAGGCCAAAGAATATATTAAGTAGTGGAATAGAAATGTTTTACAGTCCCAAATATCCAAGGAGATAAATCATTTAAATGCTTTTTTTTATTCATTAGAGACATAGAAGACTAATAATAAATAGATCTCAGACTGTTTAGCTATTGAGATTTTAGCCTGAGGCAGTCTGACATCTTTTTAAAAAAAGGGGGGGGGGAATTGGATATTAATGAGTGGAATTATGCATGATCAAAACACAAAAATAGTGAACAGTTCACTATTTGGTAATTGAAATAAAAGCCAAATTGGATGCTTAAACTGCACTGGTGGTTTTTTTTTTATCATGGGGGTTAAAAAATACCCCCAAGCCCCCAAACCTCCACCAACCCTGCAAACATATAGTAAAGAAATAAGTGCATCCAAATATATTTTGAGCAAAATCTGTCTCGTGCTTCCAAAAGACGAGTCTCCCCCCTTCCCAATAAGAAACACAATTTAAATTTAAGAGGAAATGTTCAAGTTAAGCGCAAGTCTGGGCATTTTTGCAAGTAAGTTGCAAGAGCTTATCTTCATTAAATGTTCAGCATTTATAATTTTCTAATACAAAACTCCGACATAACTGACCACTTCCACTATGTGCTTTCATGTGTTATGAACAAAACTGAGACAATAAGGATAGTGTGGCAAAGTCACATTAAATCCACCAACGTCAAAGTAGTATGTTTAGGACATTCACAGATGATTTACTGGTAATCGCTTTTCTACATAAAAAGGCAACCATAATGTCAAGTGATTTACATTAGGCTTGTAGAAAAAGATTGAAACAAACCTCATCTCTATTGAAAGAGCATGCAGAGAGGATAATTCACATTTGTTCCAATCCGGCTTCTTGGAATTAAAGGTTTGTTTGTTTTCTCCTGGCAATGATTTATTTGGCTTCATCATTAAAAAGCCTGCTGATTTAAGTCCTTAGAAACAACCTCTCTAAAATTCAAGGCATGATAGTACACGAGGTAAGGTTTGATTTAAGATCATTAGAGACCATGTTTAGTTGCTAAATCCCTTTTCTTTTTTTTTTCTTTTGGAAGGTATGGCAACAAAAGTTAAAACTGTTTCAAATTTCACTTTGCTATTTACCAGTACATCCTGAATCTCATCAATCAGTACAGGCTGATTATCTTCATGGTTCCATTACAAAACTTGTAAAACTGTATCAAAGTGAGTAAGCCATCTAAGTTCAAGTCTTTTTTTTTTTTATATCTGCTGTGCACAATAATCCTCTTTTGTAGATCATTTCCTCAAAGTTAAATTCCAAAATATTTCTGTAACAATTAGGAAAGATAGTCCTATGTTAAGCTCTATATTAAATCTGAGAGATTTGAGTGTTCCTAGAATCTCCATCCACATGTGCTAAGGATTGAGAATCTCTCGTTTGTGCGTATTCACTGTCAGAAGACTCTGTAGGGTCAAGCGAATTCTCATAGTCACTGTCTTCTGATTCATTAACATTCTCATCGGTGGTGCTGTGGGAACAAGGCTGCATGGATGTTCCACTGCCTGAATACTTCAATCCTGTATTTGTGGAAGCATAACTAGAAGAGCCCACTGCTTGAGGTCGAGGCATAAAAACACTGCTTTCTAGAACCCCAGGGCGGACAGCATTGTCATGATTGATCACATTGAAGTCAGCATAAGGAGGAGGAGGATCAGAAGCATCCGATTCTTCAAGATGACTTTCCACAACAAATCCAGGATGTGTTATTTGTGGGATAAATATAGGCTCCAAGGTGTCATTTGTCATTTGCCTATTTAAGAGAGTCTGTTGTAATCCTAGAAAAGTGTAAAAGTAAAGGTTGTAATACCAACTAGTTAAATTAAGACAATTACTTTAAGTTATACTCAACTGGTAAGCCAAGGATTTAAGTGAAAAGTTAAATATCTAATAGAAATAGAAATCTTATAAATTATTTTGTTATTATTAGCATGATTAACATTTATATCCTGTCTTTATTTTGTTGTCTAGCTTAAGTATAGATTCTCTTAGGATTCTCAAAGGATAGGCAGGAACACAACTTTTACAATGGGTCAGTATACATAATACATAGATACATACATAGAGATTTCCGCACAAAGTACATTTAACAGTAGAGAATATATAGGAGATCTCTCTCTCTCTCTCTCTCCCTCTCTCTCTGTGTGTATGTGTGTGTGTGTCTGTATGTATGTCTATCCATCTATCATAATTATCACAGAGGATAGACTTGCTGCAAGAATAAACTGAATTTTCTTCAGGTGGTTTAATTTCAAGTAACTTAACAGAATCAAAGCTGCAGCTCACACAGTTGCTGTACACTGACTTACCAAAAACAATAGAATTTCTAATGGGACCTGAATCACTAGAACATTAAACTGAGGTTTCACATCTCTTTGTTCTTTATATTCACTATTATAAAAAACATATGAATATATACAATCCATACAACTTTTTCTATTGTTTTTAACTTAACAGGTAGCTGGATTACAATTCAGTTGTCATACAAATGTCACCACAAATTGCATCCTGATGCCATTTTTTTCAGGTTTTTTTGTGGGTACAATATTAGATTACCACTATGTGCACCTTGGCATCCTTCCTTCACATTACTAGAAGAAATACATCTACTTTGGCAACCTTCCACATGTCATAAATATCCAGCTCTTGGAAGGAAAGCTACAATTTCTAAGCAAGCATTCTGTTTATAATGGCATCTCCTTGGCAAAGGCAGTGTGCTCCAGTCTTATGTTTCTCAGACCACTATACTCTGAGACGGAGGAGGGAAGGGAAAAATTAGATAAATCAGATACCAAACTAATCACATACCAAAGTATTTTTTATCTCAGCATTCAACCATATTGAGAGAAAAACCTTTGTTTCTAAGGAATAATATACAATATACACTACCAGGACTTTCTTAAATTTTGCCTTCTTACAATATGTGTAACATTCATACATGCATGCATAGGGATTTAAGAATTTTCTATACTAACATTTTTTACAAAATAAATTCTGGGCATCTTCTCTCGTGGAGATATTGCAACTTTTGAATCCTAAAAACACTTCAAGCTGGATTCAGATTTCACTTCCACTCAAAGAAAGAATCAAGACGCAGCAGCATCTGCACTGAATGAAGGCAGCTTTCATCATGTATTTCTCCCCTCACCCTGCTAGAGGTTTCTGCAAACCTCTGCAACAGTTTTTAGAGAGAAAGGAAAATGGAAAAATATAGTCTGCTTTCCAATTCCTTCAGGAAGGACTCTCTTGAATGAATTCATGCTTGTGGGGTAATCTGGAGACAATCCAGATTTTTTTTACTTAGGGAAATACAATACTCTTTCCCCTCTGCATCACTTACGACTGCAGTATAGTATTACAACGTGGACATTCACAGAATCTCTGTGACCTAATTACATTTTGATAGCTCCTTACTCTGAAGTATGGTAAAATAGTTTTCTCTCTTTTTTTAAAAAAAAATCATCCCACAATTATGCTATCCTCTGTATTAAGAGTTCTTGTACATTATTAATGAAGAAACACACCTTATGGCAAAATGCAGAGGATTATCGTTGCCCTACCGTTTAGTGAACCTTTTAGTTTCAAGCTGCGTACGAAGCACTACACACATTGCCACAGGCATCTTTGCTGTTCTTCTCGTCTGCCATCTAAGCTGCCGCATTATAGCTTGCATGCATTCAGCGAATAAAATTCAATTTCGCTGATGACTTTGAACTTTCAACTACCATCTGTACTTTAATGACAGTAATGCAACAAATAGATGCGGGTTCTATATTTCCCCCCTCAATATAATGATTTATATTTTCCAATGTTTTAAGGTGATATTGGGCAGTATACAAATAAGCAAAATTGATGGGTTCTTGTCATGACATTAAGTAAACCAATTATAAATGAGAAGAAAATTGAGAAATCACCCACCACACCAGGGTGGATGGTCTCATCTTCTTCCTCCTTTAATGCTTCCTATTTGCTTGTTGATTTTTTTCACCTGTTTGTTTTAATAGGATTGAGATCCAGCACAGGTAAGGGGCCTCTTAGGGAATCAAAGGCCTTTTTATCTAAAGATCCAAGGCAAATCCAGATCCAGATTGTTTTCCTCATAAATGCCAGAGCTTGCATTTATGTGGAAAATCCTGTGACTGTTACATTTACTTTCCATAAATGAGTTGTGTCTGATGTAAGCATTAGCAGAAGGAATATGTTATTCTTCTGAAACTCAGGGGCTTTATTTAATTGTCCATTGTACATACATTCAGTTAAGTATAAGGAAATATATTGCTTAAGAGTAATATATACGGGCAATGGTGTGTTTATGATACTTCAAGAGACAATTGGATAACAGTATTGAGGTGAACAGAAAATATATTATGCAATATGTCATAACCCAAATTTTAAAAGCAGTCATATATATGCTGAGCTCTATAGGCCTGCAGTTCTCGGTATGTTTCTGTTACTGACATACATTATTTTCTATCAATTTGTTATTCCAATATACAGTCAATTAATTTCTTCATTCCATACCTAGTCTAACTCTGTTTCTTCTTTACCCACCTTCTTGTTTTATCCTTTAACTTCCTGCCTCGTTTGTTAGAACATGCCATCTAATTTAAACACCTGGCTATTATAGAAGATACATCTAAATGTAACGTTTTGAGCAAAGCAAAAGAGATAGTGCCATAATATAAAACAGATTTAATTTTACTTATTTAATAGATTGCTCATTGTAAGATAAAGTGGTGAGGAACTACCAACAAAATGGGAAAAATGGCTTCCCAGTCAGCTGGTATTATGTGTACTGCCAAATGGTTATTAACTAGAATTTAAGAACTGCAATCCTAAGCTAACATATTTTAAGGAGACAATTTATTTATAACTATACAGAGCAGAATGAATCTTTCAGTTAAAAGGTTATAATCTGTATCCATTATTTATATACTCCAACTTTCACTTCTTGGTCTTTTC